CAAAAAGCTATAGCATTATAAAGTTAAAAATATAAAAAAGAATTTTTTTACAAAAATCGTATTTTATTTATTAAGTTTGATGTCTGTTTTTACCATGAAGATAAAATAAAGTCCCACATTTTTTTTTCCATAATAAAGTATATTACATTAGCTTTAATTTAAGATATATATAAAAGTGTCAGACTTTCCGGAACACTTTCAAAATTTAAGTTGAAAAAGTCAATTTTTTGTGAAAAAGTTGTCATTTTGAATCCCCCCCTGTAGGCAGGTAAAAAGTCAGATTTATAAAAAAAATATACCAAATGATAGGTAAAGACATCATGCATCTACAAAAAAAAGAATTATATTGATCCATACATCTTTCAAGAAGTTATAGCATTATAAAGTTAAAAATATAAAAAAGAATTTTTTTACAAAAATCGTATTTTTTTTATTAAGTTTAATGTCTATTTTCACCATGAAGATAAAATAAAGTCCGAAATTTTTTTTTTCCATAATAAAGTATATTACATTAGCTTTAATTTAAGGTATATATAAAAGTGTCAGACTTTCCGGAACACTTTCAATAGTTAAGTTGAAAAAGTTCTATTTTCTACATGCATTTTTTAGATTTGAACCCTCCTCAAATATAGGGAAATGGTCCGATTTAAAAAACAGTATGTCGAATGAAAGATGTATATAAATACTACTTCTCATGAAAAAATTGTATTGATCTATACATTTTTCAAATAGTTTTAGCATAATAAAATTAAAAATGTAAAATACAAAATCGAAAATTTTTACACAAAAATAGCATTTGGTAGCCATTTTCACCGTGAAGATAAAATAAAGTCCGAAATTTTTTTTTACCATTATAAAGTATATTACATTAGCTTTAATTTAAGATATATATAAAAGTGTCAGACCTTCCGGAACACTTTCAAAAGTTACGTTGAAAAAGTTCTACTTTCTATATGCATTTTTATGTTTTGAATCCCCCCTGTATTTAGGGAAATGGTCCGATTTAAAAAAACAGTATGTCGAATGAAAGATCTATATAAATACTACTTCTCATAAAAAAATTGTAATGATTCATACATTTTTCAAAAAGTTATAGCATAATAAAGTTAAAAATGGAAAATACAAAATCGAAAATTTTCACACAAAAATAGCATTCGGTAGCCATTTTCACCATGAAGATAAGATAAAGTCCGAAATTTTTTTTTTTCATGATAAAGCATATTACATTAGCTTTAATTTAAGATATATATAAAAGTGTCAGACCTTCCGGAACATTTTCAAAATTTAAGTTAAAAAAATTAATTTTTTGTGAAAAAGTTGTCATTTTAAATCCCCCCTTGTGGGCAGGTTAAGGGTTAAATTTATGAAAAAAATATACCAAATGAAAGGTAATGATATTATGCATCTATATAAAAAAGAATTATATTGATATGTTCATTTTTGAAAAAGTTATGGCACTTTTAAGTAAAAAAAATTGAAAAAATTTCGAAAATTAGCGATTTTTAAATTTGTAATTTTTTTGGAGGTTTCCCCCTTTTACGGGGAACGAGGGAATTTTTTTCAATTTTTAAGGGTAATGTCTTCGACTAGATACGATTTGTGATCTTTTGACGTATCATTGAAAGAAATCGGTTCGGTGAGAGCTGAGAAAAAGTGGTAACAGACACAAAAAAAATAAAAAAAAAACACATCTTAGTAAAACCAATACCTTCTCAGCTTCGTATCGAAGCNGTAAAACCAATACCTTCTCAGCTTCGCATCGAAGCTAAAATATCACATTATTTGTGGGTTTTTCGGTCTTTCTTGTTATTTAATCGATTAAACTAAAAGGCCTCCCAGTGAAATTTCAATACAAATTGATGGGTCACACTAATGTGAAATTTTTTTCCAACTTTGAACCCAAAGTTCAGGGGAGGTCGCAAAAGTTACAAAAATCTAGTGACCACTCAATTTGTATGAGAATTTTGCGGGGAATATTGTGGTATGATTTATTTTTAAATCTAGAGAAATTAGGGGGGGGGGGGTATTCCAAAATTCCTCCAATTTTGGAAAAAAAAAAACGAGGTCCTATTTTTTACTTTACCAGGATACTCGCTCATAGATTACTATGGTTCGAAAGATTTACACCCTGTATATATATAGTAAGGCGACATAAGTACATAAACGTATCATGCACTAGGTATAGCCTTGTTTTGTGGGGGGGGGGACGTTATACCAAAGGTATAAACGGCGTCAGCGGCGGTAGGAATATATAAATATATATACGTAAGGCGCATTAGACGCGGGCGGTATTGGTCAGTCAAAATAAAAATTTGTTTATATATATATAATTAATGACAGGAACGCGTGTACGGGTACGAAAACCAAATATAAAATTTTACAGGAAAATATTATTATCGGTGAGTGGTGAGCAGGGTGGGGTGAATGCGTTACGACGTCTAGTCTCAAGGTCATAGACGAAGGGGTACGGGAGTGTAATAACACGTGGCTGGTGGAGATTTACAAACAAACCCACAACATACAAGTGAAACTAATATAAGCGTGTTAAAAAAATGATTTCAAATGAAAGGAAAGTACCTAGGGTTTCTATTAAAAAAAATATATTTTGATACGTTGATTTTTTTAAAAAAGTTATAGCAGTTTTAAAAGAAAAAAATGTCAAAATTTACTGATTTTAAAAATTGTGATTTTTTGGGGGATTTTCTCCATTTACAGGGAATAAAGAAAACATTTTCAATTTTTAAGGGCAATATTTTCAACTAAATACGATTTTTGTTATTTTGACATATGGTTGAAAAAATTGGTTCACTGACAGAAAAAAAAACACAACACAGTAAAATTAATACATTCTCAGCTTCGCATCGAAGCTAAAAAAAAAATTAAATATTATTATTATTTTCAAAAATTCAGTGGTCAAAGGTAAATAATTTTTTCTCAAAAAAAGAATACAATTCTATAGTAAAGTATTATACAAAGTGTTCAGTATGTAAAGAATTAAAACATTAGAAATCCGTTTCCTTACTTACTGAACACTCTATGATCTACCACAAACAATAATATTTACAAGGTATAATTTTTTTTGTTGGTTTTAGAGTAACATTTTAGAGAACATTTTTTTTTATTTATTTGACCTCCTATATCACTTAACTCAATTACGCCATTGAAAGTATTATAACTTTTATATGTTTTTTAAAGAGATAAATTTGTCAGAATTTATCGTTTATATTATGAATAATTATAGACTTCAGGTTAACTATTCATAAATAAAAAAAAGTTTAATTAACACAGAATAAACACATTATTTTATAGTGAACGTAACGTGTTCATTAGGGTGGCCCTCAAAAATCGAATGTCTTTTTTTTTTACGCTACCCCTTAATTTTTTTTTAATGGTCAAAAAAATGAGCTGTGCAAAATTTGAGACCGATCCGTTAAGGTTAACCCGTGCCCCCGGGCCTATTAAGTTGAGTCAAAGAGTCAAATTTAATAGAAATAACTGATCTATGTCTCATAACATTTTTTTCTCTTAACTTAGAATAATAAAAGTAAAACTCAAGTAAAGGAAATTTTACAAGAAATTCAAAAATAATAACTTCAATGTTGTTTTCTCAATAAATAGCCCACAAAAACACTACATACAGTAAAAAACATGTAAAAGTCTTAAAATACGTTATAACTGATTTTGTTGATTTTTAATTATTTATTTTCATTTTATTTTTTGGAAAACGCATATTCGTTTAAAAAAAGATTCTAGAAGTTTAATTTTTTATGCCAAGTACGATAATTATATTAGATTTATTATTTTATGGACAGTTAATTAATGATTAATTACAAATTTAACAAAATTGATTGTATTATTACATTTTGTCGTATCAATATATCAATTTTGGTTTACTGAATTACTTTAAGATAGTACCAATTATATTATTATTAAAGATAAGTATATTTGAGTTATTTTCGACAACTGACATAATTTGTGTCGTATAAATGCAGCAGACAATTTGTGAACACGTTAAATATATTTTACCTGTTTATTATTATATATTAAATGATACGTTTTAATCACAAATGTACAATACTTTTAGCGTCTTTTAAAGTATTACGAACTAATATTTATCTTATTGGTAATTATTCCCACGAAATAACTGGTAGTAAGTTACCATCAAATTTACAACTATTTAATCTGAACACTGATTTTTTGAAAATTGATCCATCATTTTGGAGTGCGAACAACAGTTACATAAATGCTTTAAATACTATAAGTAAATTACGAGTCATTAATGATACAGCCTAGCGTGGCATTAAATTAATCTAAGACTACATTAATATATTAACTACAAATGAAGAACAGAAACAATACGTTTTACAAATAGTAAGTAATTATCGGAAAAATTTCCTAATTGTAAAAAAAGTACATTATCAAAATATATATATTATAATATATATACATATATTATAATAATATAATTTAATTATTGTTAAAATATTTTTTTTAAAGTTATTATTATTTAAAAAAAAATAAATTAAAAATTGTTAATAACAATTAAATTAAACTGTTAGGTTTGTAATTAATCATTAATTAACTGTCCATAAAATAATAAATCTAATATAATTATCGTACTTGGCATAAAAAATTAAACTTCTAGAATCTTTTTTTAAACGAATATGCGTTTTCGACTCAACTTAATAGGCCCGGGGGCACGGGTTAACCTTAACGGATCGGTCCCAAATTTTGCACAGCTCATTTTTTGACCATTAAAAAAAAATTAAGGGGTAGCGTAAAAAAAAAGACATTCGATTTTTGAGGGCCACCCTAGTGTTCATCTGACAAAAAATGAATTTATATATGAACGAGTTCACATGTTTGGTGAACATTACGAATACTGAGTAATTTCAGTACTTTTAACAATTCTATTTGAATTTATTGAAATAATTATTTTTTTTCATAATGTTCATTATTAATCAATGGATTCAATTTTTTACTTAATTTATTCATTTTAGATGTGCGGAGTTCATTTAAATTTAGTCATTCAACAAATACTAATCCTCAAGAAATTCTAGTTGATGAAGATGGTGATCTATTATTACAAAGAAAATCGAATATTAAGGAAGTTGTTATAGGTATAATATCATTATAATATATACATAGAACCATTATAATATTTATGGCCACAGCAAGAATTCATAGCGCCTCTGGTATTTAATTAAATTTGCGCCCGAACTCCCAATTTGTTTGTTTTACAACCATAAATAAAGATACTTATTTGAAAAAAATACTACAAAAAAAAAAGAAATGTACGATCAATTTTTTAACATTTTATCATAATTGATAATTGAAATTGTGCCTTTAGACTAATTACCGGGGTTGTTAAAAAACCTGTTTAAAGCATAAGTAAACAGTATAAAACGTTTAAAAAGCGCCATAAGACCAATTTAAGTTTTGAAGTAGTTCGTGTAACAACTTTTATAGTTAGCCTTGGCAAATGTTCTCTTGTCAGGACATAGCTACGGCTCTAATATTGTGCATTTGGTAAGGTTAACCATACAAAATGTACATCAATAATTCATTTTTTTTATCACTAGTATTAGCCTTTAATTTTAAATGTTTAATCTATTATTCATAATACACAGGTACTAAATAAATAATGAAAAGGGATTCCATTGTTGCCATTTATTAGATAATTTATCCGTCTCTTTACTTTTTTAACAATTATAAATGAAATAATATTGGCATGACAATAACATTAGATATCAAAATGTAATCATTTTTTGTGTATAAAATATAATATTAACAGATTAAATCAGAGAAAACATAAAATTTATTTTTGAATACTAATAAACTTTAATTTACGACTTTATATAAAAATAATTGAGAGAATTTTATTTGTAATTAATTTTTGCAAATAATCATCATTTTATTTAGAAAAATATCCGACGTAGTACCTAACACACAATTTTAATCCGTTTTACTATTAGCTATAAGCACAACAAAATTGTATTTTGAGAGCGCAATTTTTTAATTTCAATCAAACTTGATTGACTTTTTTTAAAATAATTCAAAATTAATTTTTTCTTTTGGGTGATTAATGTTTATACAGAAATTAATATTTAGAGAAATCTATTTTTATCCTTTAAGTTTTTTAAACTTGTAATAATATCTAATTAGTTTTATTTCTTACATTATTTAGCTTCTTTTGGTCTTTAAAGTATTGATTTAACTTTAAAACTACAGTTATACATTAAAAAAAATAACTATAAGTACACAATAGTGTACCAAGGGTTTAAAATGGTTAGTCTACAGCATATAATTTAAATCATCGATAAATTTTATTGTTCGTCACTTCACAATTTAAGAAAATAATACAAATATTGTAATCTTATTCTGCATGTTATGACAGTAAAAATTATTTAATTGAACACTATTGAGATTACATAATGAGAACAAAATTACTTATGAAACAATTTTCATTTGTGTATATAGTTTTAATAATGATTATATATAAACAAAAAATATAAAATAATTAAATTGAACATTACTTTAGAACATTTCAATCGTTCACCTTTGGACTTAGTAGGCATGCAAGTATGGAGAAGTGCATTACTAATGAGTGATTTCATAATGTACCGTAGGGATATTTTCAATTACAATCAAGTTGTTTTAGAATTGGGATCTGGTGTTGGAATGACTGGTATTGTATTAGCTATGCATTGTAAAGAAACTATTTTCACTGGTAAAAATAATTCACTAGTTTAATTAATTTCTAAATGATTAATTTAATTTAATTAATAGATGTTAATAATAAAGATATTTTATCGAATATAAAGAAAAATATTAATCTAAATAAAGATCTAATAATTGGACATACCACAGTTTTACCGCTTGATTTTAAAGAAGAATTATTTTCAGAACTTTTAAGAGAAAAACTTAAAGATGTTAAAATCATAATTGCGGCTGATGGTTTGTTACAATCCTAACGAATATAAAGTTGTTAAATAAAAATAATACTTATTTTTAGTTGTGTATGATAATGAAATAACTAAACAGTTTATAAATACTGTAAGAAAACTCATGACAATTACACCTGATAAAACTACGTATATTGGCCTGGAGAAAAGGTACCAACATTTTTGAAATTAATAAGACAGTTCATCTCTATTTTAAGTCAACTTTTTTAAAAATATCAAATATTAAATAAAATGTTTGCAATTTTATGTCTGGTCAACATATATTCACTGATTAATTGAATTATATTTCCTACTGTAATTATGTTGAATTATTTTGATTGTAGATATATATTCAGTACAACAGAATTGGACATTTGTGCGCCTTGTTATGATTTTTTTATTGAATTATTAAATAAAGCTTCATGGTGCAAATTGGAGTTGTTAGATTGTAATTTCACACAGTACTTCCATTACAATCGGGTTAAAGAACTAGTGTTATTAAAGTTGACTGTTCAAAAGCCATAAATTTAATATAATTTAAGAAAAATTAAAAAAATGAAGCATCCACAACAAACAAGAAAATAATGAACACAATACTTCAAATATAATTTATATATAATTAAATATACATATATATAAATATAATATTTAAATTTTATTTATACAACGGTGTAATTGTGCATACATTATTTATGAGACAATTACTAACAATACCATACAATAAAGACTTAATATTTTAATAAAATAATATTAAGTATGTCTAGTATGAAAATATACAAGTAAAAAAAAAAACTAACAAACCAAGTACACTTTTATAATTAAGCAGTTTATTCTTTTAAATATCATTAACTTTTTTGATTTTTGTCAATAATAAATCTTGGATTTAATAATAATTTAAGGCAGTAAACTAAAGGCAGTGAATAAGAAATATTAAAATTACTAAAAAAATTTTAATATCAGTTCTTTACTAATTAAATATACATTGTTTATGAAATAATCAAAATGTAATGAACCAATCTTAAATATGAAATTTTAAAAGTAAATTTACTACACAGCTTGTTTCAAATGAATACTTTTGTAACAAATTTATAATAACTCATGTTAAAAGTTAACAATTATTAAAAAAAAAATTCAAGTTAAAGTAATGTTTTAAAATTAATTACTTTAAATGGTTATTAAATACACTTTTTTTAAATTTTTTACTAAAACAATTATATACTTTCAGTCGAAAAAACTAAAAATGAAAAAAAAACATAATGACTAATCCAGTGAATACTTAAAATACCTCTACAATATTATTACATTATATTTATAGAATATTGTTTAAAAAATGCAATTATTTCACATTCAAATTGATTTAATGGGAGATAGTATGCTTCCCCAATTTAAATTTTTTGATTCTAAAATTTGAAATAAATTTAACTATTACTATGTAAAATATTAAAAAATACTTTTAAATATTTTTAAGTATTAATAAAAATGAGATCCAAAAAAAAAAAGGAAAACAAAATTGTAATAGTAATATACAGGAAAAATAAATAAATACATAATTTGGAGATGGGGTATATTAATAATTGTTTTGTTAAATTAGTATTGAACTTTAAAGTTTATAACAAGATATGGTTAAAATAAATAAAAAGTGCAAGTTATTCTAAATATGTAGATAGGTGCCAAATTTTATGTAAATAATAGGCATAGTAGTAGTATCTAATTCCAATAAGTTATGACAAATCATACACTTAAAAAATAAATCTTATGATAACATCTAACCCTGTATAATACTATAAAACATAGCTAAAATAAAAATCTATTGAATACCTACAACTGCAAATTTCAAGAATATAAAATTCATAAATATAGTTAAAGAAATAAAAAATTTTTATATTAAATAAAAATATTAATTAAATACACTACGAAAAACAAAATTCTAGAAGAGGTATTTAAATAAACATTTTTATTTTTTATTATGATAATAAATAAAAAAGACTAGTGCTACTGTTATTACAGGATCCAACTTTTGTGTGAATAATATAAAGTACTAGTTTTTATACACAGAATATATTACAATTATTATACATATTATAGTGTTATATTTAATAATAGTATATGATCATTATATCTCAATGAAAATATTACCAAAAAATCAATATTTGAAGGTAGTTTCAGATTATACACCCTACTGTGAAAACATTTATGATAGAATTCACGACATAAAAATGCTATTACACTAATGCTTTTCAATAGCTGTTTTACATTTTCAGTTCATATTTTGCATCTATGAAATACTACTTAAGTTAATATTTTGGGATTTATTAAACTAAAAATTAAAAATATTATCCTACTATGATTATAAGCCAGTAGTTAAAAATTTAAGAGAAAAACAACTTTCAGTCAAAACATTGTGAACTAAGAACCCTGTGACATACAATTAAGTTATATTCATTCAGTAAATGTAATATATTTTATAAATATCGGCGAATACCCATGAAATATGTTAATACAAAAAAAAAAAAAATATTAATCATGAAAATATACTCAAAGTCATAGCTTTAAGTGCACAATCAATGAGTAAAATCAAAGAGAAATCTTTTTTAAGTACTGGTAACTTTGAAACAAAAATGTATTCATATTACACAAACAAAAATTTATGTTACTATTTTTATTTTCATCAGTCAAAATCATAAAATTATTTTAAAAATATCATCTATTGTGACAGACTATTATGAAAATATGGAAAAGATATTATAAAATTAGAATATTCCTAGAGTGGATAATTTTCTTTTGTTAAATACCCAAAAATTTAATAAAAAAAAATATATTTCTTTTTTAATTTGATAAATAAATTGAAAATATAAAATTGTTTTTTGAGCACAAAAACATGAAACAACTATCAATGTGATACAACTTTTAACATACATAAAATAATTATATCACTACTCTTAACTTATATGTTGAAAAAGTACTTGAGTAATAAGAATATTTTTCTAAATCACAAAAAGTATTAACAAAAATGATATATTAATAATTTTAATGATTGCTTCTCATCATTCAAAAATTAGTTTTGGGATATAATTATAAGAAAATTATCACAAATTAAAAAATAATTACCTATCTACTTTCGCCTTAATGATTCAGACGTATTGGTTGTTATTTTTTCAGGAACTGGTTTTTTCTTATCAGTCAATGAAGGAAAAGTTCTACGTCTTACAGTTAAAGTTGCAGATATTTTGTGATCATCACCATTTAAAGATGTGCTATTACGTTTTTCTACAAGCTTATCTGTTTTTTCTGGTCTAACAGCTGATTGAGACCTAGTAGTAGAACCTCCTTTTTTATCACTTTTTTTTTCAGATTTCTTTTCTTCAACAACATTAGCATTTTTTGTAGCTGGGGGATTTTGACGTGCTGAACTATTTTTACGATTATTATGCTGTTTAATTACTTTTCCTTTAAGTTTATCTTGGAGTTTTAATGGGTAAAAAGATCCAGCTGGTTTCCGCCTAGTACCAATATCTGATTGTAATGGGCTTTGAACTAAACATCTTATTTCTGTTCGATCTTCTGCTCTTTTTGCTCCTTCTTCACGCCAATACTTTCTCTGAGCTTCAAATGATTCATATAAAACATTACTGGCTTCTGAATCAACTGCAATTATATCTTGTAATTTTTGAATAGTTGTGTAGAATGTAACTGGACTTATCAAGCGCAAATCACATAAATTACATAAATGCAACATAAAATTCCTATATAAATTTTTTCTAAGAATATCTCTGCCTTTTGCTTCAACAAACATATTTAAAGCTAATGGTATTTGACAATCTCCAACAAATCTAAAATATATAAAGTTATTGTATTTAAAGAAAAATAATACAAAGTTCTATTTTTTAAATTATAGATTAAATTAATTTTTTTTTTAATACACATAATTAAATAAAAAAAGTATACACACCCTTCTTTCATTACATGTAAATTCCACATTTTCATTATTTCTTTTTCGCCATCATTGACATCAGTAAATTCATCTATCATCATAGCAGTCTTTTTTCTTAACCATATTGGATCACTTTCATCTTCACTATCTACATCCATTTCACGAGGATAAATAGGAAGACATGTTGATGTATGATGATACAGTCTTAATATAAAAACACATACACACTTAAATGATTACTATATAACATGGGTTAATTGCAGAACTTATGAAAACCAATATTTCTTTAGAAATTGTGAATAAATTATTATAGAAAATTCTTCAAAAGATTAAAATACAAATGATGAAATTTTTAGTTATACAGGACTGGAGGTTGTCCTCACAGTTAAAATAAGTAACTTTAGTATTTAAATTTATAGTAATAAAATTTAATAAACTGAACAATTGTACATCAATTGATAAATTAAGTTTTAAATGAAACTATAAGTGAATTAGTTTAAGAGAGTATAAAATTTAACTACCTATTATGACCAGTTACATAAGGTCTTTGGCCATCATAACCATCAGTATCCTCTAATTCATGTAAAAATTCAGATAATGATGCACGTCGAAGTCGTTTAGGATGACAAACAACAATTTTTGAGACAACTGCACGCCTTACAGGACCAACTCTAGTAATACGATAACCAACATTTTTTGAATCATCTCTTTGTGGTTGAGCAATTAAGTCTTGAGGACTACCAATATAACAACCGTCATAGTGCTCATTAATTGCAACATCAATACGTGCTCCACATCCTGTTGGCTGTGAAAAATATTTAAAATAACTTATCTTAATTAATTTATCTATATAACTTATATCTTTATTATAACTTTTTATCTATATAAAGTTTTTATTGAACAAAAATTGTTTACATAAAACATAATACACATTTCTCAATTATATTTGATCAAACTTACAACATATGAAAATGTAAAGCGAGCATGGCACAGTTTTAAATGTTTCAATAAAGCGTATAACGTAAAACAATCCAATGTACACCATGGACAATGCAAATCTTCACTGGCTTCAGTTTGTTGACGACTATTGTTGTTATACAAAAATTGATAAACAATTTTCAATTTATTAGATGAAGAATTTTCAACTGAACTATTGGCATTATGTACACTGTTTCTTCTAGAATTTGATGCTGCAACCAAGCAATGTATAAAATAAAGACTAAAGCACTTAATATTTTTTTTTATTATTATACTGCTTTGAGGTACTTTTTTTATTAAGAAAAATCCTTATCAATAATAAAACTTAAACATCAATAGAAATAAATAAAACATTTTCCTATAATCTTTAATTGTATTAAATGCAATTACTATTTGAGTAATAAGAAGAAATGTAAACAAATGTTCAATAAATTTAGAATTATTTAATTTATTTCACAATAGTGTTAAAATCGTATACTTAAAAAAAAATAATTAAGTTGATTAAATGCTCCTAAAATACAAAAACATTACAGGCTTTGTTGTTTTTATTTAACTAGTAAACAAAGTAAGGGTCAATTCTTAAAGTAAATAGCCCATGGAAATGTTTATTATGTCTAATTTAAAGGTTTCTTGACATTTTTATCCTAAAAAAAAAAAATGTAAAAAAGGGCCATATTCCATCTCTCCCCAAAAATATTTCCCCCATGAAGTGATATTTACTTTGTGGTCAATTTTTCTTTCTTTTTCAATCATAAATTTCACTCTAACTTTCATGAGCAATATTACTCTTTTGTTTTGTTGAACACTAGGCCAGTTTCTGAGTGAGACATAAAATATATTATGCCAAAATTGTTAATAAATTCTTGAAAACTCTGAACTTCTTCTTTTTTCTTCTGAATTTGTTCTTACTCATCGACCATGTAATTTTTAAATGGGTACTATGCTATTACTTGAACAGAAATTGGCTAAGTGTTATGCAATTATAAAAGGAGCAATATTACTCCTGAAAGTAGGAGTGATGTTTATAATCTAAAGAAAGATAAAGTAGATATCACTACTTTGGTAGATTTTTTTTGAGAAAAAAATTAGAACTTTGTATTTTTCACAGTTAAGTTTCTATTGGATATATACTTTCTTTTTGCTAGCTTTAGCCAGCAAAATATCTAATCTTCATAAGCCACTGAAAAATAAAGGCAGGTAACTATTTAAATATATAAACCTATTAATTTTTAATAATTAAATATAGTAAAATATTTAGCCCCTAACAATAAACATGACTTAAATAAAATCAACTAAATTATATAACTCATTGTACAGCAGAGTGATTGATTTAATGTTCACTGCATTTTTTCTAAACTAATAATTATTAGTTTAGAAAAATATTATAAACTATTATAATAGTTCTGAGAATTTTTTTCTAGACTCAATTTATAATGTTTTTTTCTCGATATTTAAGGTCTATCTCTTATCAGGGTACTAAGTAATATTTATTAATGGTAACATACATATTTTACTAGTTTGAATTTTAGATAACGAACCAACTAAAAAAATGACAGGTAAATACAATTTTTGAACTAGTACTTCAAAGTTATTAATATTTTTGTCTGCCTGGGAGATATAGCACAGTAGAGTGATGTGCAGTCCCACAACTTATCTTCAGTATACATTTCAAAAGTTAAATAATTTCTGAAATACTAGTTCAAAAGTTGTAATCGACAAGTCATTTTCTTAGTCAGATCATTTTGTAACATTTATTAATCTATAAAAATATGTATGTACTTGTTTAAATTATTAAATTAGTATCCTTATAAAGGACAAGAGATAGACATAAAAAATATTTAACAAATTATAAATCAAGAAATAATACTAAAAAAAAAAAAAAAATTTCAAAATTATTAATATTATAAGGGCACTTTTATCGTCAATGATAAACCAATTACCCTTCATTAAAAGTATACATACATATATATATATATATATATATTAAAAGTATACATTATTTAATGAAATTGAATTTTATATAAAATTAAGAATATTATTCATACTTGGCCAACTATTTTCTTTATTATCAACAAGAAGGCATTCTGTTGTAGAAGAATTAGTTAGCTCTGTTGACCATTTAAGACGAAGTTTTATTTTACTCCTATTTTCAAAAGTACCAAATTGAGGTCCAGCTTTTACTTCCTAAAACAAATTAATAATTTTATCATATTTTAGTGATTAAAGAATATTGGTTATATTATTCATATTATTTTCAATTAATAAAATTTTTATAACAAAAAATAAATAGACAAAAATTACAATTACAAATCATAGTAAAAATTAATAATTAAAATTGACATGATTATCAATATCATTTTATAACATATTAGCAGTTTTTTTTTGTTAAAATTTGATGATAAAATATTGTAATATTTTTAATATTGATATAAAATTTGAATATTGTCAATTTTTTTTACATTGCTAACAAAACTAAATTAAAAATTAGTTCATATATTAGTTTCTTGTAAAATAAATAATGAATCAAACAATAACTAAAAATTAAAAAAAAGATAGAATTAAAAAAAATGAGTATTTATTTATATAAATATTAAAAGTAAATAGTAGTTTACTATTTTAATTATTTTATTAAATATATAAAACTAAAAATAAGAAAAACAATTTTCTTAATATAATAATTATATTAAGAGAAATTAAATTAAGAATTTAATTAATAAGAAATTGTGAATTTAATGCATTTTCATATTTTTTTATACTTTGTACAAGAAAATGTGTTTGATAAAATTTATTTGAGTNAGAAAGTATCTGTATAGTTAATAAACTAAACATAATATATAAAAATAACTAACATAATTTCAAAATAAAAAGACAGTTAATAATCTAACTGTAACACGTATTAAATATGAATGAAAGAGAAAAATTTATCTTCTACAAATTCAGAGTCAAATGCAGAAAAATGAGATTGTAACCTAATTAAAAAAAATAGGCTGGACTTAAAAAAAAAGCTTGTAGAAGAGTAAAAAATCAATGGATTGAATTAATTTTTTTTGATATCTCTGAAATATCTTTGGGTGGATCTGATGAAAATTTCAATCCTTAAGTCGTAAAATGTTGGTGTCAGAGACGACCATTTTTCTCAAATATATTAAAAATTCCAAAATTGTAACAAGGAGGCAGCAAAAATTTTCTGATCTTCGGCAATAATTTTTCTAGAGTTTCGTGACCGAGTATTTTTGTAGAAAATTATTTTTTGGAAAATTAGAGCACACTAAGTAATTAAAATATTCTTTTCCTTGTATTATTAAATAATAAGATATTAAAAAAACCTATTACATGTGGTGTTAACTAACATAAGTTATTTTTAAAAACTAAAATTCTTGTTCATATTTTATAAATTTTAAGAATACTTTTTTATACATTGTTTAGTATATATTTTTGCATATCTTATCAATTTTAAAAATATATTTGCATACTTGTTTTATATTTTTTAATGCTTTAAATTCACTACCCTAATAATAATAATTCATGGATAAATGTAGTGCATTCTTTACTAATTTATCAACAAGTGACAAAGAAATTATTATTTTTTCATATAAATTTATAATACTTGACTAATAAATATTTTGTTAATTTTTTTTTAATTGTACACACTTTGCATAATGAAATCTGTGTTACATGTGTGAAATTTTAAAGCATAAAAATTTCTCAACATTATTTCTATTTAAAAAATGAATGGGTTGTGATAAATAGATCAGACTATTTATTGTTTAGAGAGTAAAAACACTATATATTTAATTTGTATCTAGATCAAAAAATAATATAATGCTAATTAGTCAAAGAATGTATTTTTTCACTCGGTTTAAATTCATATTCTTATATAAAATTATTAATTAACTTGTATTCACACTCATAGAGTAAATTTTGAATACGCTCACAAATTTAATAATATAAAAAACTAATACATTTTTTTCATACCTGGATTAATACAGTTTGAGATTTTTAGGACTAATTATTTTATGAATAAGATTATTTTTAAATTATTGGTAACAAATTTTACTTGGAATAAATGGAACACCTAACCTACATATAAAATTTAATTTATTAAATTAATACTTTTAGACGTTCCCATGATGCTGATTTGCCAATGCTTGATATAGGGTTTGCATTTAATTCTTCTACAATACAATCATAATCCCCATCTTTAAGCAAACAACGATTTTGTTTATCATGTATTACTAAATTTGCACCAAATTCTTTTTTACTGACACCATTGCCTTCCTTAATACTCATCCTACGTTTTTTTTGGCTGGGTTCTATAATAGTAAAATTATAGAAGTTAAATACAAAATTATGATTTAACACAAAGAAATATAGTTAAATTTTCACCTGTATTTTCCGAATCTGAATTAGATGTCACATTCATGATTCTTAATAATAAATGGTGAGATTTAGTCACATGACCATTCATAGTGGCAAATGATTCAATAGGAATTGAAATTATTGACGCATGAGAAGGCAGTTGATTACAATTAATAGGATTTGCGGGTACTGAAGATAGTCCATATGATGTCTAAATTAATGTATGTATTAGTTTAATTAAATATATTTATAAAATATAATAAAACAATTTACAATTGTCCAGGGACAACCATCTTTTCGCTTTTTATGGCTTATTTTGATGAGACTAGTTTCGATTTTAACTGGTTCGTTTCCATTTTTAACTATAAACAAAAAATATAAATGATCATCATACATATTTTTCAAAATAAAATTAACAGTAATTCAATTTACTAGTAACAAAATAAGAGAACACTACATTTTATTTTATTAGAACTATCACTTGAAATATAATTTTAAATCACTTTCTAAAAATTTCAGTATGAAAATTGAAATTATAATTTGATATAGTAGAACTATTATAATAAAATATACATCAACCAAATTCAAAATAGTGACAATTAAAGCCTTGTACTAATAAAGTAAAATGCATCTTCTTTTTTTTTTTTACTCATTAACTTAGGCCTTGGGAATTTTAAATTTTAGAGACATTTTACACTGAGGCTTTCAAGCACTGATACAAGAAGGCATTATTTTCTAAAAAAAAAAAAATAGAGAATTTAAAAAAGTCTTATGCTAATAGAAATAGTAAAATGCTAAAATTTAACTGTCCTAAATAAATAAAAAACAATTATAAATGATATATAATTTTATTAATGTTTTGTTGTAAACAAAAAAATATTACTCCTCTTAACATGCATGAGTTTTGAAAATTCACGCATCAATTTTTCTTATCAAGATATGCTATAGCAATACCTAATATGTACAACCTGTGCATAAACCAACGAAGATAATCTCTAAGTTGATATAAAAATAAATTGTAGTATAATTAGTGAAATATTCTGAAAAGAATATAGAAAAAAAAATTTTCATTTCTCCTTCCAAACACAAAAATAAATTATATAATCACCAATTATGTTTTTCTGAAATACTATTTATCAATAAATAGTGTTACTTAATAAATAACAAGATTGTAAATTAATAGTTTTGAGCAAAAAATAGTCAAAATCATAATTTTCAAATTTGGTTCATTTATACAAAAAAAAAAAAATATATATATATATTAAAAATATCCATTAAGTTTGAGAAAGTTTTTCTAATTCTTTTTAGTTCTAAAGACTATAAATATCTAATAATATTAATGAATATTATGGATTAATAATAAACATGAACCTAATCAAATAGTATAAGCAAAAATATATTTAAGTAATTTTTAGTTATATAAACAGTAAAATAATAATTAAAATTTTTCTATATAAATTCATTAAAAAATATACACAAAGTATATTTCATATAAAATATTGATTTTTTATTACTTTTGTCATCAAAATATCCAATGTACGTTATTGTCAAATATCGCTTATTGCAAGATTTTTTTTCATTTAATTTTTTTTCTACTACATTCATTAATAAAGAATCAATATCAATTTTCTTTTTTGGACGTTTCGGCTTGGGACGATTTGCTCTCATATAACTCAATGTTCTAACAAGAAATAATGGCTGAAAAAACATTAATAACTATGAGTGATAACACACATAAATTGACAAAAATATTTTATATAAAATGAATTGAATAAAAAAGTATATTAATTTACAGGATACCTCAATAATATTCATACTGCTGAACTTACAATAAATAAAATAAAATAAAATAATTATTCTAATTTTTTGACAGAACATAATACTGCTAAAATAAAGAGTATATCAATTTTAAAAAACAAATTTGTATTACTTTCTAATTATATGATGTGGTAATGTTTTAATATTCAACTCAAGATAAAAATATTGAAATATAACACTAGATAATATAATTTAGTTTTAAATATTAATTCCGTATCAGGAATTCATTTCAGATTCATAAAATAAAAATAAAATCCTAAATTAGTTTTGATGGTAAAAATATTAATTTTACCACATTTTACTTAATTTATACTTTTTAGTTCATAATATTGAAATCATTTGGGATAAAGGCAAGATTTTTTTGTAAGGAATAATATTTTCTTTAGTTTAATTAAAGTTATTTGATTTTAGGTTAGATGCATATCTAAAAAGATATTAATTTTAATTCTGTACATCCACTTAAAAAATATATTGCCTGTCACTAGACCAATTTTTGCTAATCAATACATTAAAAATCTGATTTAAATTGTAAATAGATTTGTTCAATACCATGTTTTAAATAGATAAAAATGTCTGTAAGGTTTGTTTTTAAGTCACTAAAATAGTGGATTAGTACAAAAATTATTTAAATCAAAAAACCAAAATTATACTAATGAATAAATTTAAATTTCCAATCAATAAGGCAATAGCATCTATGATATACAAGAAATATAAATAACTCATTAAGTGTAAATATTTAAATTTGTAAATATAAAATATCTTAAACATTAAATTTATAATAAAACTTAAAATTTTGAATATTCAAAATTAATTTTAAAAAGTAGATTTAATATAAGTTTACATTAAACTATAACTTATTCTACATTATTTTTGGTTCATATAACTTACAGAAAATAAACTACGATTTCTTAAGTATTTGTAAATTTGAGTTGGTTCTGAAATAAAATTATTTTCAATTAATTAATAACATTAGTAATTAATAAATTAAATTAACACAATTTCACAAAAATAGTATAGAATTTTTAAATCATCTATCAAAATTCATTTTACAAGAAATGCTTAAAAAAAAATGAGAAAAATTTTTTAAGCTTAAATTATAAAATCCCATTTTAATTTTATAAATTCAACAGGAATTTAAATTATTTAAACATGTTAAATAATTAGTAGTTTTCTTATTCAATAATTCTAATTAGTACATTTTTCTACTAATAAAGTTAAAAATATTTCGGACATACTTTCAAAAGCTTGAAGAAATAATTCATGATCAGCCTGTGCATGATCCATTCTGGTTTTGTCAATCTCCTTTTCTCTCTTTCTAGGAGCCATTCTAATGACTGGTAAACTTACAAAAATCGTAAATTTGAATTCACAAATTTTTATTAATGGCGTATTAAAATCAACACATAAAGGAAATAATAGTAAAAAGGTAGCTAAAACTAAAAAAAAAATTGTTTAATTCTAAAAATGAGTAGGGTAAACAATGGAAATAAGTAAGCGATCCATTAGCAAGGGCGAGGCGACGGCGATGGGAAGCCAACAGCCGTTCCGGGGGACAACGACCGATAACAAGCCATCAGTGTAGACACACATAAATTTATAAAAATACTAACGTACATACATGAGGACAATTTTAGAAGATTAACATAGCCACTCCATGCTCATCAATCATTTTTAAGATAAATTATAAATCACATATATTAATTGTTTTTTAAATTTCAATTATTTTACTTGATAAGTATTTCCTAAACCTCTAATCAATTTCAACTTATGTTGGTCACACTTTAGTTAGTGAATGTAATTCATATCCGTTGATATTCAAAGTTATTGTTGTCAGTTTAAACTGAATAATTAGTACTGCGCCGGTAATATATTAAATTATGTCCATTCTCTACAAAATTTTTATTAGTTTTTCTAATTTTTAATTGGAAGGTTTAAGTTCCTCTTAGGCCATTTTGCGTTTATGTATAGTTAAATTATTCTTGTCGAATTTTATTTATTTTTTTATACATTTTTAGAAGCATATAGCAGCATAAAACTTTTATTTAGAGTTCGATGATTTTATATTTTTACAATATATTTAATGTAAGGTGCTTCTAATTCGCTCAATCTGTGGAAACTTAATCTATCCTACATAAATAACCTAAATTTAGTTTTTATCTTTCTTGTGTACACATTTGTATAAATACAATAAAAATAGCAAATTTGTATAAAAATCTTTTAGGACTTATAACAAAAAAAATTAATCGAAGATCAGACGGGTTCTCAAGAAGAGGAATTTTTTAGTATATAAAAATTATATTAAAAAAGAAAAAACCTGTGTTAATTAGTGGAACTAACGTATCATGGAAAACAATATTTGTTGAAATCAAACAGTATTTACAATTCTCTTCGTGAAATGCATTAATGAAAGTTTGTATGTAGAATGAGTGTTATTTTTTTTTTGTGAAAGCCGCTTCGAAGCAAAAATTATAGTGATGGAAAAAATTATTTTTTATGATTGAAAATAATTTTTTATTATGTAATTTAAAATTTGATCTACCCTCTTAAAAACATTTGTTGTTTGGTATACCTTGAGCTCTAATGATAGTATACATAATAATAGAACTTTTTTATATATATTAAATACAAATTAAAAATTTGTATTTAATATGTATAATTCGAAATTAACCTTCGCAATCTTTTTTATTATTATATTTTTCCTTCTCGTACGCTTACATAAAAATTGAATTTTATAATATAGTAGTCTAATATATATTTAAAATATTTTATCCAAAAATAACTTTTCGTATTGATAATATGTATGTGTATTATCTCTATTATACCCCACTTTACATTCGATAACTGGGAAATCTATTGTCAAGTATTTATCTTAAAATAGACTTCATTAAATATCAATTGTAAATTTTTTGTAAGTATTAGACTTAAATAAACGCTTCATTTAGATTAAGAGGTATGTTTATCTATTGAAGCTAAAAAAACTTTATGATATATTTATTTGTTTGAGAAATAATGGCTGGAGCTTTTTTTAATATTTTAATACCTACCGAAAGACACGAAATTCATTTAACACAAAATAGTTTTTGTGATTGTTCATCAAGAAATAAACACACAATTAATCGTAAACAACTCAACACATTAGAAAATGAAAACAAACATAAGTCGAATTTATTACACACTCATTTATCAATGGAAAAAGTGAGTTCTTAATTTTTTAAGTTAATTAAAAATTAGTTGATTGAAATAACATAAGAAATAAGTCGACGCTATAGTGGGAAAAAAAGTTGAACCGATTCGGCAACTGTACTTTGCATTCGTTTGAGGATAAAAATGGCAATTTAAGCTAAATCTAAATTGAAAGTTATTTTTCTCGACTTAATAGAAGTAAAAAAAAATTAAGTAAGTTTAACTTTCTATTTTGTGTAAATAAAATTTATATAGTATTTAATTGTTCTAATAATATAAAAAATGCATTTTGAAACTCTTCTGATATATCCTATGTGTTGATTGAACCATAGCTCTAAATAAATTCGAAAAAAAAAATAAAGAACAATTTAGCTTAAATAATATTGTATTGATCCATACATTTTTCATAGTCATAAAAATATATAATCGAGTTTTATAACACAATAATAGCACGGTAGCCATTTTCACCGTGAATACGAAATCTGAAATTTTTTAGCTTCGATGCGAAACTGAGAAAGTATTTTACCATATGTTTTTTATTTTCACTTTTTTTCTTAAAACATCCATAACTTTTGCAAAAATCAACAAATCAACATAATTTTTTTTTTATTAAAACCTTAGATATTTCCCTTTCAGTTGATATAATTTTTTTGAAAATTTAACACTTAACCTGCTCACAGGGGGGGATTTAAAATATCAACTTTTTTACAAAAATTAATATATACTTCTTTCATTTAACATACTTTTAATTTAAATTGGACAATTTCCTTTTTTACTGGGGCGTTCAAAACTTGAAACATACATAAAAAAGTAGAACTTTTTCAACTTAACTTTTGAAAATGTTTCGGAAATACTGCGTCTTTTAAACATATACCAAATGAAAGCTTATGTCATGTACTATAAAATGAAAAAAAATTTGTCCCGACACTTTATCTTCTGCATGCAAACGGCTGCCGTAGTTTAAAAAATGGTATTTTTGTATTAAAATTTTCGATTTCCGATTTTAATTTTCAACTTTAAAATACTATAACTTTTCGAAAAATGTATGTATCAGTATAATTTTTTTTTTCTCAATACATTATATTATACATCTTTCATTTGACATACTTTTTATTAAAATTGGACAATTTCCCCTCATATAGGGGGCGTTCAAAACTTGAAACATTGTATCAAAAATAAAACTTTTACAACTTAACTTTTGAAAATGTTCCGGAAATACGGAGTCCTTTATATATCAAATCAAAGGTTATGTCATATACTATAAAATGAATAAAATTTGTCCCGACACCTTATCGTCTACGAGTAAATTTCCACCGAAATTAAACAAAAAATGTAATATTTGCAAAAAAAACATCTCCTATCGTGATGTTTTTTGTACTTAAAACTACCATAACTAATTGAAATATTAACAAAAACAAAATAATATTTTTTTATATTGAAACCTTAGGTAATTTCCTTTCATTTGATAACATTTTTTTTGAAAATCTAACACTTATTCTATTCACAGGGGGGGATTTAAAACAGCAACTTTTTTACAAAAACTAACTTTTTCAACTTAACTTTGGAAAATGTTCCGGAAATACTGCGTCCTTTCAACATATATAAAATTAAAGCTTATGTCATGTACTATAAAATGAAAAAAAATTTGTCCCGACGACTTATTTTCTATGCGCAAATGGCTACCGTATTCAAAAATATGCTATTTTTGTGTTAAAATTCTGTGTTATGTATTTTAAAATATCTTACTAGGGGAATACACTGACTTTCATGAATATTATATGATTTATTTGACATAGAATAAAGTTCATAAGACAGAAGATGTTAAACTTATTAAAAATTTTTTGCTTTTTTTAAGTCGAAAAAGTAACTTTAAAATTTGACATAACTTATATTGACAACTAATCATGGAACGAAACGACGAACAGGTTACCGAATTGGTAACACTTGTGCCTTTCACTATTGAGGTACGAGGTTCGAATCCTCCTAAAGCAATTTATACTTTGCATTTTTTCTTTTTGAGTTTTTCAAATTTTGAAATCATTTGATTTTTATCTCATCTAGATTCAATAACTTCAATAAATATCAAGGATCCCATCACTGTAGTCTTCCCTTATGAGAAGAAATTTCTCATTCATGTTAATATTATTTTACTATGTGTTTTTTTTTTTTTTTTGGGCTGTGATTTATTTTTCCAACCTTCACTTAATCTACTTTTTTCAGCGATATATCAAATGATTATAATTCGTATTTAATTGAGGATATTACTCCCAAAAATTTAAAAAAAAATCCCTTAATCAAATAAAAAGTAGCTTAACCAGCTTTATCCATATAAACAATTAAAATCATTCATTTGTAATGTTTTCAAAATATTTATTGTCGAATTAGATATGATATGATAAAAGTATTCAACAATAAAGGTAAATAATTTTACTTTGTAGTTTATTAATTTTTTAACTCTATTTGTGTGTGCTACTACCAGTTTATAATATTCCAAATTTTTTTGCAACACATAGCTTAGGGTGACCCTTAGCTACATGAGAGGTTTTTTTTTTTTTAATATTTGTAAGTGCCACCCCCTAGAATTATTCGAATACATGAAAAAATAAATTGTAAAAAATTTGGAGACGATTGGTCAACTCTAAGACGTGCCCCAAGGGGGTTAAAAATAACTCCCCAAGGGTGATTTTTTAGTTTTTTATGTCTATCTCAAAAACTTTAGCTTTTGCGAAAAAGTTTGTTTGGACTTTTTTGTAGGTATACAATTTTTCTATAAAAAGTATATATACAACAATTTTTGAAAAGTTCTTATTTAGCCCTAAAAAAATAAAAACGTATATGTTCTATTCTTACCGTTAATACTGTTAATTTATAAATCGTTCATTGTAAAAACATAAAAAAAATTCATTTAACCGTTGTTTTAAATTTAATTTTCTATACATTTTTAATTCGACATTTTTTCTAT